GACAGCGTGTTAGTAAGTTAGTGAGTGTGTGAGTCAATGATTGACTGTGTGAACAAGTGTGTCAGTCGGTCAATGAGTCAATTAGTTAGCCGGTTAGTTTGATCGACACTGAGTGAGCAAGTCTGTTGATGAGTGGGTGGATGAGTTAGCAGGTGAATTAATGGGTGAGTCAATCTGTTCATCGGTGTGCTAGTCACTGGGGTGGTTAGTCAAATCGTGATTCCCTTATTTACTGAGCGCAAGCTCGTTACTGCGCGAGTTTGTTTGTGCGTTAGTCAATCCAAACCGACAGGTTAGTGATTGTGTGGCTGTTTTTGCAGTTCACCTGAGTTGAAAGCATTTGGGAAGCTGTTGCTGAGAGTTAGCTGCAGATGAGGAAGGTGCTTTTGCTTGTTGCTGACAAAAGACAGATCTCAGCATGTCCTTATCAGCCACATAGGAAATGTTCACGGGGTTTGGGCTGGGAATAGGATTGGCATATTCGCGGGAAAGCCAACAGCATGGTAACTGCCGACAAACTGAATAGCAAAGAAGAAGACGCTAAGCCACACACCCGGGATGCTGGCTGGCCAATCATAACACAGCACAGAGGTCTGTTTAATTAACACCAAGCAGACATCTGTCGCTAACTGCTCTTCGACAATCCATAACTCAAGTATGAGAAAGCGTGTGTGTGTGTGTGTGTGTGTGTGTGTGTGTGTGTGTGTGTGTGTATGGGTGCAGGGTGACAAGGGTCAAGTGATGCTCAGGCATTGTGAGCCGAAGAGATTTCCACTTGATTAAAAGTCACTCCAATAGCCAATAGAGCAGAAAGTTTCCACTTTGTAACAGAGTGTTCACACTGTGTCATATCCTATTTGGAGCTTCCACTTCGGACTCTATTTTCGGGCCCAGCACAAGTCTAGCAGGAGGTCTAAATCCGAATAGAGTCGAGTAAGACCTTGTGCGGGTATTTTTACAGACATGCGCAAGCTGGCACATCACATCATGTCGGATTTTACTTTTTAAACCAAAGGGTGTTTTGCGCTATGGTGGGTGTGAACACAGACAATCAAAGCAGCATCTCTAATTTTCTTTAAACGCGGCGCATGTGAAGCGCACTGATCATCATTGTCACGCTGGAAGAAGAAATTGATTTGCTCGAGTCCGGTAGCAGGTCCAAGCATGCAAGGTGCGTTTACAATGAACTGCAAGAAGACCTCTATGGGTGGATGATGTAGAGTTGGCCAGGGATGCAGCTCTGCCCCGCAAAGTGGTCACTTGGAGATGGCCTTTCACGCCGATTGTTCGTGTCTATGTGTGATCTAATCCTAACCCCATAATAAAGTGAAACACTTAAATTTACATCCTTACCCTTGCCTTCCAATCACAGTCCCAAACTCATCACCACAAAAGCTAACCATAACAACACTCCAAAAGCTAACCCCACCAAACTCCTAACCTAATCACAAACCCTCAATCATAATCCTTAAACTTGTACCAAACACCCCTCACCTGACCTCTATAACCCTGATTCTTTTACACCTTTAAATAACTGTATTGCTAGCCGTATTGCTAGCTGTATTGCTAGGTTGCTTTTTTTTGTTTTTTTTACAATATGGTCTTTTTTTTTTGTTATTGACAGTGTGACACTATTGTGCTTCCACAGTCATCTTCTCTCCTCATTTGCCCTCTGATGTCACATAAAAAAAATAAAATTAAAAAAAAAAAGTTTTACTTTGACAGCAAAACTATCGTGGTTTCCTGTCAAAATAAGCATGAACATGAGAGTGAAGGCTCCTATTTTGAATTATGTAAAGAGGCTTAGTTGACAAAGCCAGGCCACGGTGCCGTTACTTTGCCCTCATTGCTTATTCAACACGCCCAGACTGGCGCTGCCGCATTAGCATGGAGGAAGAGTTTTCCTTCAGCTCCTCTTCTTCAAACATTGACTGACTGACTAAAGACCGCCACCGCTATCTTATTGAAATCCGATCTTGAACTGACTTCAAATCTTTTGAAACCGTAACCCTGTTTTGAACTCCCAGGTGTTGTTTTCTGTCCTTCACCTTCGCTAATGTTTTTTTTTGTACAATTGTTTTTTCTATTCCCTAGTCGCTACTATGCTTAAATAAAACCCCTAATATCAAACCCCAATCCCCTTTGAAACCATGCCCCAAGCCTGAAACCTTAACTTGAAACCATAAATTTGGCTTCAAACCCGAATTGGAAATATTGACCATCATTTGAAACCTCAAACATGGCTTGAAAGCCTAACTTTGGCTTCAAAGCCGCATTTGAAACTCAAATCCTAATTTAAAACTCCAACCCTTGTTTGAAACCCTGCCTCAAGCCTGAAACCCTATTTTCAATTCAGAAACCTGTCTTAAAACCAAATACTAGTCTTGAACCCCTTAAACTACTTTTGAAACCCCAACCAATGCCTCAAAACCCTAGTTTGGTCTTAAAACCTTGAAACCCTTATTTCAAACTTTTAGTTTGGAACCTGAAGTCTATATTCTGCTCATATTTGCTTATTTGCATACTCATACAATAATTACTATACTTGCATATTGCTCATACACCAATGCTCAAGACCCTAACACTAGCTTGAAATCAGTTCCCCCGGCCCCTTTTTTTTTTTTTTTTAAACCTAACTTGAATCCTCCTCTGAAACCCCACCCCTTTCTGGAAACCCTAATTTGAAACCCAGACCTACTTCTTACATCATCACTTCCAACCTGGGATGACACAAACCGGCTCCAAATGAACAAATGTTCACCGACATCTGCAGCATGTTGTTTGCATGTTGGGCAGGCAAAACGTTAGGTTGAAGAGTCCATCAGTTCACACAAGCAGCGACAAAGTGAACACTTGAGACAAAACCACACAAACACACACACACACACACACACACACACACGCAAAGTGCAGTAAGTAATTGTGAATCGATAAACAATTCCAGTAGTGTATCATAACACAGTGCTAAGCGACCTCAAGTCCCCGACCACCAAAGCGCGTCTCCATTTTCACGCTAATGGACACCCCCCAGTCACATGAAACCCGGACTGACATCCCCGGGAGATTCCGCGGCGGAATTTATCATCAGCAACATGTGAAGTCATCTGCTTTTAAGGCTTTGATGTTTCATAGCGCTGAACGGAAAGTAGTGACCCCGTTCTTGTAATAAAAGCTCGGGAAAGTCGTTTGGGCAACGGGTTGAAACTATTTTTACAATCATCTCAACAAAGAAACAACTCATCTGACCTGAGCTATAAAGCCAGATTTGAAACCCTAACTTAAGTTTCAAAAGCTGACCCCAACCCCAAAAAGTCTGCGTTTGAAACCCAAAAAATTACATCCTGCTCCCTGGTTGAAACTCTACTGCGGCTCGACACCCTCATTGGACTTGTAATTTTGAACACTAATCCTAACTTGAAGCCCCACAAGAAATGCTATTAATAAAAATCCACATTTGTGGGGTGACAGGAAGCACGCTGTATGTTGAAGCTGACGCTTCGGAATGAGCCAATTTCAAACCAGGAAATGATGAGACCGAAAATGGTAAGAAAAAATCATCCATCAGTCACGCGATACACACACACACACACACACACACACACACACACACACACACACACACGAACGCGATCACGCACGCGCGTGCACAATGGTTGTCATGTTCGTTTTAGCAGGAAATTGCTCATATGTCAACTTGTCTCGATGGCCATTGGACGAATTAGCTCACTGGCAACATACTTTCACTTTCATTATATTTCGTACTTGTGTTTCGTATGATAGTTACTCCAGTGAAAAAAAGAGAAAAAGGTCCGTCAACATGTTCAGAAAAGTTGAAAGCTGGTTCTTATAAAAAAAAAAAAAAAAAAAAAAAGATGACGACTTGGTTCAGTTAACATACAAGCATGGTGTTTTGAAACAAAATTAGCACAGCCTTCTGGTGTGTGACAGTGTTTTCAAAAAAAAAAAAAAAGTGTGTGCTTGCCGCTACGGAAAAAGAATTGCACTTCACTTCCGGTCAATCATGACTCAGACGGCGTTCAAAATTAACAGGCTGCCTCAGAGACAACTGCGCGCTGTCTGATAATATGAAAAATGACGAGTCGGGACCCCTTGACGGACTTGGGGAGACGCCACCCACAAAGATTTTTTAAAATTTATTATTTTTTTTTTACGTTAAATGCCTCAGTCATTTTGGGTGTGACATCGCTTAAAATCAACAGGATTCTTGTACTGACGTCAATTTTAAGACAAAAAAAAACCCTCAAATGAACACTCCGTTCATGAAACAGCAATTTAGACAGTGTATTCAATTTAATATTTGTGGAAAAGGATTGGCAAATGAGTGAATTTGTTTATGATTTATACAATGTCCCAAATTCATTGGAATTGGGGTTTGTATATGAATTGGACTGTGACAAAATGAGTGAAATTAGTAGATTTATTTTAAAAAAATGTTATTAACCCTTTCAGGGACAGCGGTTACTACAGTGGACAGCTCATCATGTTATCAGGTTACAGGGTGCATGATAGGGTTAAGTTACGTATGAAACATATGTGTTTGGATTCATTTTATGTATTTTTTTTTTATGGGCTCCATATCACTCAAAATGATTATAAATCTTGAGTTAAATTTGAAGGAGAGAGCCTTCAATAGAACTTAAACACTAAATACAAATACTGTACACCCATAAAATGATTCCATTTGTCAAATATCAAATCATGAGTTTCTAAAAGTGAAATGAATTATATTACTACCGTATATGTGAATTACCAATCGGGTCACGTAAAACTCAAAGTCAACAGGATTCTTGCATCTTCAATAATGAATGAATACTTTTTGTTTAATCAAATACTTGCACATTTCAAAAGCTAAACGCATGAAAGTACTGCGGAAAAGTCCGGCTGAGCAGCGGGTACCTCAAGTCAATTTACAAACAAATATTATCAACTGAACTCAGTCACCTTGGCCTGATCAATTTTTTTGTTTCATGTTTTTTTTTCCGCAAAGGGACTTTTATTTCTCTGCATCTATACATCTTAAAAACCTTTTTTTTTCCTTTTATGACACATTCAAGAACATCCCTTAATTAATGTGTGTGTAAAACATTTGGATGCAGACATGATGATTTTTTTTTTGTCAAATTCAGACATCTTTATAACACAGGACAAAATGAGGGGAAAAAAGGAACTCATCTGATTGTTTTGAAGACATTTTCTTAAAGAGAGAGAGAAAGAGAGAGTCACATTAATACAAAGAGCTATCATGGAGTACCAGTATCTTAATATACCGCAGCTGTTATATCACATTTTTATATTCTGTAACATGAGTACATGGTCAGAAGAAGCCAACGTTTGCTTTGCTTGAGGAGGGGGGGAAACAACAGAAATATAAAGTGGTCCATGAGTTCACCCGTGAAAAGAAAGAGCTCACCGTGAACGCCATCGAGCCTGCAAATGATCACAACCTGTGCCAGAATGTCTTGGGATGGTCACCACAAGAGAATACACAAAAAGCTTCGACGGGAGGGGGCGGATGTCGTCCCGCCGTACTCGATCTATCTCACAACACTTGCTATCCTGGCCCTAAAAGTCCATGAGGAAAAAACATCCATAACACCGAATTGCAACACTTGGTCACTCAGTATGTTTACAAAGCGGTTTTGGAGGTTAGTCCAACGGAAATTGGATTCCTAGATGTACAGACCTGAACGCACCCGCGATTGAAAGCGAGTCTCCATTGGGCCGTGACTACAGAATAGTAACAAAGAGTTCTGAGAAAAAATTCATTTTGTCTTGTGAAAAATTAAGATTCGTGATTTGGCAGTCGCAAACTTGCCAATTTCGCCATTTTGTTGTTTTTTTTTTTGGGGGGGGGGGACATTTTTTTGTGGAAAACTCAACCATTTCATGATTTTGTGGTGTTCTACTCACAAATTGTGAATAACGGGTTTACTACGTAAGAAGTACATTGTTTGGAATTTGATATGTTCGCTGATCCACCTGAAGTGTTTTGAACAATCAACATACATGTTGTTAGTTTTTCATGGACAGCTTAAAAATGAAAAAGTGACTGAAATAAAGACATTCTCTTCCCACCAGATCACCACCTCTGCCATATTGAATGTCTCAGATGTATTTTTTTTCTTCCCTGTGGCCCCAAATCCTCCTTCGATTAGATACCAAAGCGTTCAGCCGGACTAAAGCGAGCTGTAAACATACTGAGTGAAAACAATTAATCAAACAAAACAAACAAAAAAAACCCATCACAATTCACTGATCACTGCTTGATCGATAAAGTACGTGCTTGAGGCAAAAGTGGCTCTTTTTATCAGCTTGTCGTCGTTCAAAAGGCCACGGGAGCGACGGCGTGTAGCTCGCTGATAAAAGAACAAAGGAAAGAAATGTGAAGGACAAGCGAGATTTTTCTTGATGACTCGATGGTAGAGATAAAACTACTCTGCAATCGCAGACCCACATTTAGACAGAGCAAGAAAAAAAAAGTACACGGTCAGTTTGCACAGTTTTCACTCATCGGAAACAGGCTGAAGCAGCGGCCTTGAAATGAAAAAAAAAAAAAAAAAAAACTTCTCCAGCTCATCTCATGTTGGCTAATTAAGCATGAATCTGGTTTGTTGAGTCCCGGAGGAGCTAGCTAGCAGCCTCACAGGGGGGTGACTCAAGTTTGCAACGTCCTCTTCAAATTTTAGTGACAAACTTACACAACTCTCCAAAAGTTAGGTAGAATGAACTTTAGGGTGAAATTTCACGACAACATTTCTTTCTAAAGACATTGACTTTCACGCATATCTGCAATTCCTGCTAATGTCGCTCTTCAGCTAGCTGGCCACTTACTTGCCTCTGAGCTCATCCTGTTTGTTAGGGTGTCATCTTGATCTCATGACATCAAAATATGAACAGGGACGATGGAGGCTCTTCAAATTTCAATTTTACTCGACCCAGACAATAACTGGTTGCACAAATAGTACTAAAACTTAAACGCACACGCAAACGTTTTGAGAAGGTTAAATTACATTCACTTGCAAAGGTTACAGCTATTTTAGGCTCACCCTGAGAGCACGATATCCCCAAATTTTTGTGAGTCGAGTAAATTCTGACCTTTTGCTCAAACTCCACAGCAGTAATGGGCAGCATGTAGCGGGACGTTGAAAAGAAGGAAAAATGTGCTTCCTTGGAGTGAGCTCAGGTTAAATCTGCTTTCGAAGGGTGCTAGAGAGTGCTAGCACGATGTTAGCCGTCTATTCGCCTACCCCTGTTTCTCCACCAAAACAGCTCGGAAGTATCATGGTCCACCAGATTTTGGAAAAATTTTGCTCCCAAAGCCAGTTTCAGATGGGTGACGCTAAATTGTGTGGGATGTTTTTGTTGTTGCCTGTGTGCAGAGTTTGGCAGCAAAGTTGGGACGATTCACACAAAACCACGAAACTCTCCACACCACAAGGTCAAATAAAACAATAAAAACTCAGCTCGAAGGCCATTGACATTTGGACATTTCTACCACGAGCAGACCCACAAAAAAAAAAAAAAAAAAAGTCATGCCCACAAAGACACAGGAAGTCAGCCCATTTTGGGCAGGGGATGCCAGTGAAGTTTGATGACGCATCATCCCCACATTTTCACTGAATACCGCAAACTAGGAGCCTCCCGCTGGCAAAAATGTGTCAATGTATCGATGTAACGAGAGTCATAACTCCCCTCTTGACGCTGCGGTCACCATGTGCGTCAATACGCCATGTTTTTGCTTAAGCCTGTTTCCGAGCTATATTGAGCCTCTCGCTTGAATTGTGACTTTCCCCTTGAACACGATAGCGAGCGTCTCGGCTAACTCCCGGCAAGAAAGCACATAAGCAAAGAAAGAAAACCTTGAATTATTAAACTTTAAAGTTTCTTCTGTGAGTTTCCTTGCAAGGGGGGCGGGGTGGGGGAGAGGGGGGAGAACACCTGCAATACTCTGGTTCAAAAAGCTGCTTTCCCCCCTCTAAAAACGACTTCGTGTGCGTGAACACACGGGCGGCAGGAATGCTATTTTCCAAGCAAAGTGTAGCGGTGAGGCGGCGCGACGCCAAAGTCTTTCTTTGTGGCTTTTACCGTCACCAATCGCGAGCCACCCAGATCACAGTCAGAAAAAAGGAATTGGGGGGGAATAAAAGTTGGCAAAAAATAAGTTAACATAACTTTTGACACGTAGAACTTTACAATATGTACATTCTCTTTTTGTTTTTCCTGTTTAAATTAAAATAGATTTGTCTGTTTGTCTGATCGGTTCTCTCCTTCGCCTGCTGCCTCAGCTGCATGTTAAAATCGCGTCGTGCTCCAGCCAATCAGAGTGCAAAGTAAGGCTTCCATCCTTTTTAAAAGTCTAAACAGTTTTGGTCGTCGGTGTCTCGGGCGGGGCGGGCGGTGCCCTGTCGGAAACGCGACAAAAAAGAAAAAAAAAAAAAAAGAAAAGAAATAAATATAAAATATATGTAACATTTCCATATATATTCATAAAACCAAATGCCAAGATGGATTCTAACTCTTCTTATCAAACTGTGGCCCTTTGTTGTCGTCAATCTCAATATTTCGGTTGTTTTTTTTTTTCCGCGGGGAAAGAAAAAGTCTTTAAACCTGTACAGCAAGTAAACAGAATGTAAAAGTGCGTGTTTTTGTTGTTGGTTTTTTGTTTTTGTTTTTATATTTTATCCACTATATCCAAAAGTGTTGCAGGCACTTAAGTCCTTCCCAAACATTGTAGGTGGTTTTCCTCGACAGTGACGCAGGGGGCTGGGGGGGGTTTGGCTATTCCCGTACTGGCTCGGTCTCTAGCCCAGGATATCTAGGTAGACGGGCGTGGCCTTCCCCATGGCGAACAGGACCTTCTGGATGTCCTTGATGTTGAGTCGCTGCTGCGGCTCCCGCTGCCAGCAGCCGAGCATGATATCGTACACCTCCTTGGGGCAAACGCGGGGCCGGTCCAACACGCGGCCCTGAGTGATGCAGTCGATGACCTGTGGGTGGAGTAGAAACAATGAGGGATGTGGACTGGAAAAAAAAAATAAAAATCTGAATCTTAGTGGACCGAATCACAAATGGAATGATTTGTATTGTACAGTCATTGGAGTGAGTGCTATTGTAGCTCAGTGTCACGGGAGTGAATTGTATTGTTATCTATTTGTAACTGGAGTGTATCGTAGCACATCACGAGGAGTGTTACGTAAATCAGTAAATCATCATTCTCGTGAATTGGTGAGCTTTGCGAATTGAACACAAAAGGCCATATTCTCACATTTGAGCAGAAGTCCTTTTTTTTTTTTTTTTCCCCTTTAATCCGCCTGAGGTTACACACTTGTCACCTCCGCATATCCTCCTGTCCAAATTTCGCAACCTGGAAATGTGTGCGCGGCTACCAAAGAGGCGTGAGTCACCGAAGTCTGAGGCTGCCTGTAAATCATGGACTTAGTTTTTCCTGAAAGCTATGTCAAAGAAAACCATTTGGACAATATAGCTCACCTTAAATGTGAAAATACTTTCTGTCACACTCTACACTCGGAAGAAGAGCACAAGTGACAGGCTCATTGGAATAAATGAATGGAATCATCCTGCATGGTAATTGGACTGAATCCGCTTGCATCGTCACTGAAGAAAGTCGTATCGTATTGTAATTGGAGTGCATGTTACAGCATTGTTGATCGTTTTATCTGTATCGCATGGCTGTGAGTGTATGACAGCGTCCTCAGTAATAGAGTTGCACAAAGGAAACCGATTGCTTAGCTTTGCTTGTCATGACCAAAATTTAAAAGTAAACCTTTTGCTAAAAACATGACATTCATTACCCCAGGTTGTTGACACTCGGTTCATTAAAACAAAGTCATGGGGATTGTTGCATTTTGATCAACACAAAGTGGATCTTTACTAAGAATTGAAAAGCAGCGGCGCTAACCGCGTGGGCGGCTACTTTAAGACCTTGCTAACGGGATGAGTGATTGTTGCCTTTGTTGGGCTCGTACTCCAATTAGCTGCGTGAATAAATGTTGTTTTGACACTCTGACGTTGCTTCGTGGGACCACTATTAGAGCTTAAAAATTAGCTCATTTTTTTTTTTTAAAAGGTGTGTAATTACCAAGGCACTGCCGTTGACGGGGGTGGGAGGGGGGGACCCCATAACACACACAGAAGCACACAACGTTATTAATTTCACACGTATCTAATCATAGCGTCAAAAAACAACTCATTCAATAATTTGCTCCAATTTGTGGAATGCGCGCTAATGAATAGAACACAGCGGACTCAAAGGCAACACCAGATGAGTAGCTTATCTTGTGAGACTTCAGCGACGTGAGCTGACCATGTGTTCCACTTTTTTCATTACATTAGGGTACGAGTAATGTGAAACCATAAAGTATTGAATACCACCAAAAACGGAAAGTGAAGTTCGTGCTCAGTCAAACGTAGGGCAACAACAATGAGTTGGACCAATGACAAATGAAATGTCAATGAAGAGAAAAAAAAACAAAAAAAAAACAGATTGTTTACCTCGTTGTTACCCAGCTGAAACCAAGGCTGCTTGCCGTATGTGAAGATCTCCCATAAAATGACGCCGAAGCTCCACACGTCGCTCTCTGTGGAGAACTTCCTGTACATGATGCTCTCGGGAGGCATCCAGCGGATGGGTAGCATGGTGTGTCCTCCGACCTGATTGAAGAAGAGGAAGATTCAAATACACACCAAAAAACAACACACACACATCCATGAGAATATTCAGTCATCAATGTAACTCGCGGGCATCGGGGGATTAAGTGATACCGCGGGTTTAACATCTCATGAATGTCTGGCGCCATCGCTGCTGGATGGCGAAGAATCACCCACCACCTGTTCCAATACGCGGTGGTGAAATCCTTTCGGGGTAGGGTATTAAACAACACCATTGTCGGCGGAGGCGAACACCTTCAGTAAGCGCTCCAAGGAAGTCTTCTGATCACTTTGTCGATAGTAACGGCTGAAAAGCCACTGCTGGCGTTCATGCAAATGTTTAAAGTCTGTTTACATCCAGAATGTATAGGCTATGTTCTGTTTGTATTCATATAGAAGGCAAAGCTATAGTGCACACGGAATCTCTTGAAACGGATTGAAAGGCAACCCGGCATGAAATGAAGTCATAAAATCCCAGGCTGCATATTAATCCAGGAAACAATCATTTCATCCATGGATCCAGTAATCCATGAGTTCAATTCTCTTTACACACACACACACACACACACACACACACACACACACACACACACACACACACACACACACACACACACACACACACACAAACCTGCTTATTCATTCATTAGTTTGTCGATCACTTTTACTCGATTGCCAAACGGCCTGACTATCCACCCTTCTTTTGCCAATCCATCCATAGATCTGTCCATTCATCACTCCATCCGGCCATCAAGGCATCCATGAATTGATTCATTCAATCCAACCCACCACGCATCTCTGCCTGGCTGTGCGTTCATTCCTCCTTCGATGGAAATTGCCGGACAATCATTTGACACAACGTTCCATCCATTGCTTCTTCTGCCCCTTCACTGACAAATCACTCGAGCCATTAACGTACGGTACCGTTTCCATCCATTCATATGACTGTGCGGCCCGCCATCCATCCACACCCATTACACAATTTTTCATCATTTGTCTCACCAACCATCCGCATATCTGTCTATCGGTTTAAGTATCTCGTTGTCACAAGCATCATTCCAACATCTCCTCATAACGATTTCTACTCATGTAAAAATAAACCTTCAAATTGGGTTTGGAACTATAAGGGATCGGGATGAAAACGTCAACCTGAGCGCTGGTAGCAGGCAAAGCAAGAGCCAAAGGCAGAGAACGGATGTGCACACCACGATCTCTTGAATGGCTTCAAAGGCAGCCGAACATGAAATGAAGTCCCCGTCGCTGTAAATCCTCCAAGGCTGGATATTAATCGATCAAACAATCACCCATTCATCATCTCGCCCCTCAGCTTCCATTTGCAGGCACGGTTTTTAAAAATCTATTTCCCTCTTTCTCGTACCCGCGTGTGGCTGCTTTCATCACAGCGGCGATGAGCTGGACAAGACGGATGTGGCGAAGAGCGGCGCGGTATTGTGCGTTTCAGCTCGACACGCTAAAACAATATTAATCATGGAGATCACACAGATTACGACGGGGGTCTCGTAGCAGGGGGAGGTCAAATTACACTATCGACAGATCATATAAATAACACATGGCCACAGAGTCAAGTCTACCGGCGGAGGAACAATTTATCCTCGCTGTTATTACACGCGGATTTAGCGCAGTACTTTGGTTCCAGCCTGAAGAGAACCGTTGGAGAGGACAAAAGGTTCCAATCAATGGAGGTCCTGACTTCAGTATTTTGTTGCGTCTGCTGCCTTGCTCACTTTGCAATCCGAGCTTGTAGAATTTACGGGAAATGACCTTATGCCCCGACACAAAGTTATCTGGCTCTACTACAAAGTGTTTTGAAATGATATCGCTTATAGTTTGGAAGGAAAGTCGGTTGGCAGTCAATCTGTTGCTGTTTGTGAAATTATGCTGCACACAATTCTCAAGCACACATGGGCAGAAAAGCTGCCATGTGTGAAAATTCTGAACAGAAAAATTTGTGCCATCAGTAACACTAAACCCGAAGCTTCTTAACACACACACACAAAAAAAATAAAAATACCTAAACCGATGAACGGTAGGCTAGCAACACAAGAATTAGTAACTAGTAACACTAATTCTAGCCCTCTGATCTTATTAGGATTCAAATAAATAGTGCGGAGCACTAATTACCCACCCTAATCTTATTCAAACAAAACCCTAACCACGCCAACCCTAACCCTACAAACCTTAACACCTAACCCAAGTAATATACTCCCTCACTCGGAACCTAACCCTAAAACGACGATCTCTACCTCTAACTCTGTTAATAACTCTCACTGATGACCTTACCCCTAACCCCAACCAAACCCCAACCACCTCTAACCCGAACCCAAAACCCAACTCTAGACCTAAACCGTACCAACACTAACCTCCAACCATATTACCTCTCCTAACCCTGATCGAGAGTTAGTTCACTCAGTAATGCATTCATCCATTGCATCAATCCTTTCAAGCATTTGCCCATCAATCTAGCCACTCCTGCATCTATTGGTCCATGGGACCATCCAATATCTGCCTGTTGGAACGTTCATCCATTCAATCATTTGATTCTATCCAGATGACCGGCCGTGTAGCCATCCGTCCGTTCGTCTATCGAGCCAGTCGTCCATGCATTTGTCTGTCCATCCACACGCATCCACAGATCTCGCCATCTGCCCATCCACGCCTCAATCCGTCTGACCAGCGGTTCCTCATCATTTTGCTGTTCTTTCCATTCATCAGAGTGTCCGGCCATCCATCTGTCCAGCAATTTGTAAAACTGTCTATCCACTTTGCATGTTCCACTCTCTTTGTTCATTCATGATTATCTATTTATTCCTTGAATTCATCGGTTCTGGTCATCCATCATTATTGTCCATTCATTTGTCAGTTGGCCCATCCAACCATGAACTCATTCAATTTCTCAAATTGGGAGAGCCGGTGCCAGCCATTTTGGACCATTTTGACAAATTTTTGACGGCCTACAGAAAATTGAGTTCTCTTGCTATATAAAAATGGAGCATACCAAAACAAAGCTTTAAACGCACTTCTTTCATCAGGAAAAAAAGCACATTTCTACCTTTTACCATTCTTTAGTAAACAGCAGTTGAACATTGGTAAAGTTTCTTGAAAATACTGAGAAAAGGGATGAATGTCAAGCACTTGAAATTTGATCCTATTTTTTTTTTTTTGCATTTGGGATACCTCAATAATTTCCACAGCCTCGATACTGACTGAGGTGGTGTGTAAAGCTCTTTATTAATATTTTCAAATAAAAAACTCACAAAACGTGTTTTGAGTCTGTCTGAACCTCGCTCATCCATCACTGAATGTGTCCTTTCGTCTAGCCATCCATCCATCCTTGGATTCATCCGTCCACTTGTGCACCTGCCTCTGGCTTCAGGTTCAATCATCTTCTCTTTTTATTCACTCATCCGCCCCTCCACCCATCCATGCAGTTGTCCAATTGTTCAGTCATTCATCTATCCATTCCTTTCATCCATCAACCCATCACCTGTTAGTCATCTGTTCACTCATTTAACTGTCACTTAATTTATCATTCCATCCATCCAGCCATCCACCCAGAACTCGCACCGACCCACCTCTATGCACACCCGTGCATCCATCAATCCAGCCAACCATGCATTCATCCATGCATGCACACATCTATCCATCCATCCATGTCAGCTGTCCATTAATTAATCCTCTCATCTGTCCGTCCATGTATAAATCTATCCTCATTTCAAATACAGTACGAAGAAGAACCAGCCCCAAAGTATACGCAGAGTGACATTTTCCGCACAAAGCAATCACAGGAAAATGCTGTCATCTTTACTAATTGCCTTCCTCGCTTTGAAAGGCAAACACGTTTTCCTCGTGTCAGCTTGACACAGCGTCTGGATCTCCACCATGCTCGTAAAAAGGCGTCAGATTTGACAAGCTGCCAAACAGGCGGCTCCTTCCCTGGGCGTTTATGCACAACGTCCTCCAGCGCCAGCACTTTGTCAAACTTTAACTTGCTGACTTGACGTCTCTCGTTTGCCTTCTCGCTTGTCCTTCACGTCCGATTTTGAAGCAGCTGAGGGTCAATCGCAGCACATCTGGAGAAGATGTTCGCAAAACAACAGCAAAAAAAAAAGTGCCTTTCATACATATCGTTTGTGACAAGCAATTGTACGGAATCGTTTTACATCAATTGCTATCGACGCACTTCGCCTGGAGGTCCACTTATAGAAAAGCTTTCAAGTGCGCCTGAATGCTGACTGCAAGCCTAAAGCACAGTCCATTGAATTTCAGACTTTTCTGGTGTTTCAGCAAAACAAATGAAGTGCATCATTTTCCAATTCTCTGCTTGCTGGGTGAAATCTAAACACATTTGGTCGTCCTGTCTACGAGATCAAATGGCTGATATATTGTTGAATTTGGAAGCGTCTCACGCATTTATCCGCAGGTCCAGCCGAGGATTTACTGAGCTTTATTCCTCAGCTCCAATTTGCTTGACAGTAACACATTCAGACACGTTTGCACCTGTGCGTCGCCGCGCTACAAACTCTGTCTGCCACTAATCCCGCCAGGGGTTAAGTGTCGCATTTAGCATCCCAGTGAAATATTTTTTCTTCTGCCTTTTTTTCCTCACTGATTCTGCACTCGCATTTCGATGTACCCAGAGGGAGTTTGAGGTATTAGCTGCTTCTCAAAGACTGGGTGGGGACACGCTTTAGCGGTAAAAACGGCAAGCTTACTCTCAAAATAATTCCAAAACTAAAAACTGTGATCCGCCCCTGCCGGGACAGTTAAAACTGTTAATTCTGAAGTCATTCAACATCAATTAGGATGACGTCTGCCACAGTTCGATTAGCCACATTTTGTTCAATAACACACCGCATCAGTCCCAGGGGAGGCTTTAGCGGGAAGGGTATCGTTTTCCCAGCTAGAGTTGCAAGTTGCCAGGGCAAATGAACAGAGATGACTTAAAAGTGCAGTAATATGAACTGTTCTGTTTCTATAAAGTG